TGCAGTACGTGGGCTTCTCATTGCGGTGGCTTCTCTTGTTGCGGAGCACAGGCTCTAGGCGCGCGGACTTCAGTAGTTGTGGCACATGGGCTCAGTAGTTGTGGCTCGTGAGCTCTAGAGCACAGGCTCAGTAGTTGTGGCACACGGGCTTAGTTGCTCCGCAGCTTGTGGGATCTTCCCGGACCAGGGCTCGAACCCGTGTCCCCTGCATTGGCAGGCGGATTCTTAAAACCACTGTGCAACCAGGGAAGCCCCTCCTTTGACCTTTTGAGTGAACTCATTTGAGTTCCCAAAATGTCAGATCCTGTTGGGATTGGAGGCCACTTGGCAAAGGAAGCCTTTGAAGAAGTGTCCCCTATAAAATTGACCATTACCAAGTTTTTTGTTTGTTTGTTGTTTTATTTGCGGTACGTGGGCCTCTCACTGTTGTGGCCTCTCCCGCTGCGGAGCACAGGCTCCGGACACGCAGGCTCAGCGGCCATGGCTCACGGGCCCAGCCGCTCTGCGGCATGTGGGATCTTCCCGGACCGGGGCACAAACCTGTGTCCCCTGCATCGGCAGGTGGACTCTCAACCACTGCGCCACCAGGGAAGCCCGACCATTTCCAAGTTTGAATGCCTGCTGTTCCCCACGGTGGGACATGCGGGACCTGGGATGTTCTTGGTGCATGTGATCTCCAAGATGTCATTTGCAAAGGAGGGAACTTGGTGTCTATTAGTCTCATCCAAGCCATCAGCCCTGGCAGCCGTGTGTAACAGCTGGATTTGGAGACCAGTGTTGGTGGACAGAGGAAGGGGCAGGGCTGAGAGAATCACAGCTGGGATGGATGCTTTGTGATCTGTTCTGCCCTGGAGGGTGAGGGTGGGAAATGCTTCTCAGAGCCTCCCCATCTTCCTTTCTGGACACCTTAGAGAGGAGCCTTTTGCTTCAGAGAGAAACGAAAAGGATTTTTTTTCCCCTTCTCCAGTCCAAGGAGAAGGGACACTTTGGGGTAAGAGGTTTAACCAGAAGCAGTTTCTTTTTGGAACAGGGGCAGTGCTTTATTCCTGGCCAGTTCCTGCAGGCAAACAGCATGCTGGGCTGGCCTGCTGCCCCAACTCTACCTGTCATGTGCTTGGCAAGTCTGACTTGAGTCCTTTTTTCCACTGCCTTCCCCACCCCGTCAAACTGCCGTTGCAACCTCTCATTTTTCTGCTGCCTAGATGATTAAAAAGCATGACTTAGTGGAAAAATCTTGACCTCCTTGGGGTCAGCCTCTTAGGCAGCTGTCAGAGATAAGATTGTACTAGCAAAATACTCAGCTTTGCTTTGCAAGGCTTTCTGTCTCGTTGTGAGGAAACGAGAAGCTGTTTGGTTCTGGGTGCGTTTTGTTTGTCTTTGGAGAGAGCTACAATTTTCAGAGGCATAAATTGGTATTATCTGATAATACAATATAATCTCTGATGGGAGGGTTAGATTATTATAGTGATTTTTTAAAATGTAATTAACAGGCTTTGTAAAAGAAAAAGTTTTTTTTTTTTTCCATGGCGCCTGCTTTGAGCAATTCAGGGAGCAAAGTTCTCTGGCAAGTAAGCCGTATCAGAAGTTCAATGCTCAGACTTCCCCCAAGGACTTAAAAGACTTAATTGTGTGGCTCCTGGTATGAAAGGCATTGTTTGGAGTTATTTTAATTACTGTGTTAGTATTGCTGCCTCTTGCTTGGAGTTTGAAACTGCTGTTGGAGACTCTGCTCTCGCAGTCCTGTTGAAACTGCTCCAAAGAGGACATTCCAATTTGAGTTTAGCATATGTCTTCAAAGCATTTTATCATCTCTGTATTTGCCCAGGCTTTTGCACCCACCTAGTGAGACCAGAAGGCCACTTCACTTCTTACAAAGAGAAACTGAGGCCCGGGCGTTTGAGAGGTCTTGGTTAGGGTTGTACAAGTGATGTCAAGGTTGATGTGGCTTGACCCAAGTGTTGTCAAATGAGCGCCTCATTCGAAGTCCTGTGGGTCTGAGTTTGGGTCCCCGTTCAGCCGCTTCCTAGCTCTGTGGCCTTGAGTAAGTCACTTGCCCTCTCTGTGCTTCAGTTTCCTCATCTATAAATAGTGATCACACCACTGCATACTTCAGAGGATTATTGTGGAGATTGAGATTCTGCTCAGCAAACGTGCCTGGCATATCTTCCATCATCAGCAGCCTCCTTATTTTAACACTTTTCCCCCTACTTTTAGTTAAAGACGCATTCCCGGCTTAGAACAAAATCATATGCTCTCTGCTCTTGTCGTCGTCCTCCTCCTTCTGCTGGCCTTGCCGCTGCCTGTCTCTCTGGCTCTTCCTCAGCGGGGGCGATCCTAGCTAGGAGCCGGGCGCCACCTCTCTCAGCCAGGGGGTCACAGCATAGGCCCAGCCCTGGGCTTGAGGTCAGAGGGTAGAGGCAGGGGCCCAGGGCTGTCTTGGGCCAGGTGTCCATCCCCTCTTGATATTTCGCAGCTCTGTCCTTGAAGACTTAGAACAACTGTTTGGACGGGGCAGTTCATCCTCTGGACCTAGCTGCCCATCTTCTGGACCTAGCTGCCCAGATGGTCATCCTGGGGCCTGAACTGCCAAATGGACCATTAAAGCCTAGGGTCTTGGGCTTCCCTGGTGGCGCAGTGGTTGAGAATCTGCCTGCCAATGCAGGGGACACGGGTTCGAGCCCTGGTCTGGGAGGATCCCACATGCCGCGGAGCAACTGGGCCCGTGAGCCACAAGTACTGAGCCGGTGCGTCTGGAGCCTGTGCTCCACTACGAGAGAGGCCGCGACAGTGAGAGGCCCGCGCACCGCAGTGAAGAGTGGCCCCCACTTGCCACAACTAGAGGAAGCCCTCGCACAGAAATGAAGACCCAACACAGGCAAAAATTAATTAATTAATTAATTAATAAACTCCTACCCCCAACATCTTAAAAAAAAAAAAAAAAAGCCTAGGGTCTTGCCCACCCTCCCTGGTCAGTTTTCTGTGAAGTGGGCATGTTGACCCAGTGGCATCCATTCATTGTTCAGAAGGCACAGGTGTTGAAGACAGGAGATCTAGGTTTGAATCCTGGCTCTTCCTTGTGACCCTCAGAGCCCCAGGTCTCTCTGCTCCTGGGTAGCGGGGGGAGTGGGGGAGGTGAGGCCTACCGGAGGTATCTGAAAAAGCTTTGTAAACTGTAGCATACTTTCCACTCGTGGGGGTTCCCCTCACTCATGCCCAAGGCTTGTGCTCGGAAGGGCACCTGTGTCCTCACCCACAGCAGGGGGCTCCGGCTCCCCAGAAGAGAAGTGAGGAGGGGCCCAAGCAAGCCACTTGCCCTTCTCCCTGCTCGGCATGTGGGTCTGTGCTCAGAGCCCAGTCCAGGGGCAGACCTGCACGGCTGGCTGCATCGGGAAGAGAAAGCCCGCAGGGGGGCGCCATCTTTCCCGCGCCTCCCTTCACCCCACTAGCCTAGCCCCTCCCTGCCTTGTTTTCCTCCTGGCCGCCATTACGATACTGTTTATAAGCCCCGTTAAGTCTTTAATGATGCCTGGTTGTGCAGCTGGCTTAAGACTTAATCCCGCAGCAATAGGGCTTTATTGGATAAATGGTTAATAATCACTCGTCTGCAGGGATTGGGGAGGTTGTGTTGAGGCCCCTGATTCCCGGAAGCCCCACGTAGCCCCTGACATGGTCAGGGACTTGATGGGGACAGCAGTGCGTGGGGCTAGGTGCAATAAGATTGGGTACCCTCATAACACCCGAGAAGTTGGGAAGGCCTGAGTTTCTAGGAGAGCACTGCTACTACCTCCAAGGAACAGAGCCAGGCACAGGGAACCCCCCGGGATCTCTTCAAATGTGTGTCTCCACCCCCTCCAGGGTCTGCTTTCCTTTATCTTGCCATTAACAAGCTGTGTGACCCTGAGCCAGTCTCCTGACCCCTCTGGGCCTCAGTTTTCTTATCTATCAAATGGAGAGGTTGGAAGAGATGGCCTTGCAGGTGCCGTGTGATTCTGTGAGCCCAAGCGTCCCAGACAGTCTCCTCTCTCTGGCTGTCTGGCGTGTCCCCGAGAGCTGTGTGTGGCAGGAGACCAGCAGCCCATTGGATTAAGTACTTAAGCTGCTGGGCAAAAATTGGGTCAGCTGTAGTCACAGGGCAGTGTGCGCAAAGGGAATCCACAGAGCCTGGATTTTGTAGCCTGGTTTGGGGTTTCTCCCAGCTCTGGTCAGGACACACAGTAGGCATCAGAAAAAGGAAGCTCGTTGACAGGACTCTGGAAAGAGAAGTAGACACTTTCAGGTGTAGAGCCGTCAAGGAGCCAGGTGTTGTTTACAGGTGAAAAAAGAGCCTGGGATTATGTTCCCATGTGCCTGTGTCTGGGGCCATGCCTTCAACGCTGATTTGACTTTGACTTTACAGCTACAGTGAGATCAGAACCCGTCTCCTTGAGGGGCACGTGGTATTGGCCACGGACTTGGGAGTCAGGCAGACCTGGGTTTGATCCCATTCTACCACTGCTCGTTTCCAGGCTGAATGGTTTGGGCAACCTCCTTCTCCAGGAATCTCCTGGGATTCTTTCAGGTGGCGTGAGCAGCACCTATGTTTCTGCCTGACTGTGTTGGGTCCAAATTATATATGTAAAGTACCTGGTAGGTGCCAATAATTATCCTGGGAGGAATTTAATGTTATGGCACCTGCTGTATGCATTGTACTTCTAGAGTAAAATGCTTGCTGCAAATGGAGATGTGACTCACTGTGGACGTGATTTTGAGTTCTTTTATCTGAAAACAAGACCAAAAAGTACAAACGCAAATTTGATGGCACTGCCATGAAAACTTTCAGCTTCAGGATTAGTCTGGGTTTCCTTTGTTGCCCCAGAGTTTGTTCCCTGGCTCCTGCCTGATGCTCTGCAGTATCCCACCTGCTGCTCCCCAGTATCCCAAGGGTGTAGCACGGTCTCTGGTGTATAGCGGGGGCTCGGTCCTGCACGTGCACATGATGGGGTTCTCCGCTTTTATTTCAGATCTTCCCTGACCCGTCAGACTTCGACCGCTGCTGCAAACTGAAGGACCGTCTGCCCTCCATCGTGGTGGAGCCCACAGAGGGGGAGGTAGAGAGCGGGGAGCTCCGGTGGCCCCCTGAGGAGTTCTTGGTCCAGGAGGATGAACAGGAAAACTGTGAAGAGACACCGAACGAAGACAAGGAACAGTAGAGTCCACGCCGGCTCCCACAGGGTCACACCAGACAGCATCTGTACCTGAACTGTGTTCTTTCCCGCTACCATGGAAGGAGAGCATGAGCCACAATAGTTCTGAAAAAGTCAGGCGATGGCTTCCATTTTGCACCTGCAAATCACTGAGTTGGTTTTCTTTTCTTTTCTTTTCCTTTTTTGAGATGTCGGGCAGCGGAGCCCTCTGTGACAACATGCCAGACCTTTGAGAAAGGAAACTGCTTAGAGCAGGGGTTGGGGGGTGTGGGGAGGCGGGCGTCTTGGAGATCTTTATCTGAACTCAAGCAGGCTGGGGGCAGCCGTGGGATTCCAGTGGGCTCTGGGGGTGGACTGGGATGGGGGGACGTGCAAAGCTAGCAAGGAACGTCTGGGGCAAGAAAACAAATAGGAGATGAAAGAGAAAATACACATTTTAAAGAAAACATTGAGCAGAGAAGTGCACCCAGGAAGTACCTACCCAGCAAGCATTCGCTCTGGCTGCTGGGACATCAGACAACAAAGTTTTCATCTCTCTCTAGTTTTGCCCACTGCCAGCCTTTGTTTTTGTTTCAGGTGTGTTGGTCTGTAATGGGGAGGCAGGCAGAGAAGAGCAGTGGAGGCTGGCTACCTGCAAAGCCAGCTGGAGGTGATGCCAATGCCAGGAACGCCTCCCGTTTCCTTCTCCAGACCCTCCCCTCAGGCCCTAGCAGGTGCGTGTGCCCCCGTAATCTGGAGGTTTTTAAAGAGGCTGCAATGTTGAGCGCTCCCCGGATTTATCCTTTTTGCCCCCCAGCCCTTCTGGAAGTAGCGAGAGCCCTTCCCACCCTTGTTGGAGGGCCGATGTAGACGCTTGGACACCAAGGTCCATCCCCACCTGCCACCCCCGCCACACTTGCTCTCCCTTTGGGCAGAGGCACAGAGTGGTGGGCTCCCGCAGGCTGGCCCTTCCTTCTCCTCATCTCCACCCTCCCAGCCCTGGCACAGCGGTCAGGCCGGGTGGCTGCCAGCCCTGCCGCAGATTCCAGCCAGGCTGACCAGCCACAGCACCCATTCCCACGTGGGATCTTGGCCTCTTTTTCCGGTGGGAGCTGAGTGGCGAACGGAGGAGGCTTTTTCTGTTCCTTGTGGGGGAAGTGAGCTTTAACGCAGGTCCTGAGAGCTGGCAGAGCCTGGGAGTTATTGGATGGCAGTGACAGGCTCTCATGCAGCAGCCTGGGGATTGAATTTGAAACTAAAGGGCGTCATGAGGTCTTGGGCTTCTTCCGCGGTGTGTCTGGATGCAGGGGGCAGGACGAGGGAGCATCACCCCTCCTCACCTCCCACCTGACCCCTGCAAGGGCAAGTTGCAAGAGAAGGCTAGCGTGGACTTAGAGCTTCTCATCATAGTTAACAACCATCTGGAGCTGCAAAGATTGCAGGACAAGCCCTTCAGACCATCTCTATCTCAGAGCAGGACGGTGCAGCCAAGAGGTGCGCTCAAGACCCTCCCTGGGGCTGTACTCGGCCAACGGAGGCACCCACCATGTCCCCTCAGGGCTCCAGTCAGTCCAGCTTGATCCCAGCTGGGACATGTGTGTAGAGTTGTACTTAATACCTCAAGGTTAGTGTGGCTCTGGAGAACGCTGGTGCAGGAGGACCAGTGTGTGCTGTTGTCACATCAGCAGGACTTGGTCCTGGGAAGCCAGTGCTCACCCCCTCACCCCTCTGCCCCCAACCTCTGTGTTGTCTGCTTGTGTTGCACACACCGATGGCAATAACTTCCTCCAGCTCCTCGGGCAAGTGGGAGAGGCCTGCAGCCTGCCCTGCGAGGGGGCTTCTCATTCTCGCTCTCCCTCTCCTTCTGTTTTGGCTGCAGGGAGCCTTTCCCAGTTACCCTCACACCCCCGCAGCTGCAGTTCTCATCCCGTGCCTCCCTGTGTGGATGGGGTCTTGCCTTTGAAAATACCGTGTTTCTGTATCCCCCTCTCATCTGCTCCCCTGTATCATCTGTCCTGGTCTTGCCGTCTGATGGGAACGTGCTTGTAAACTGCATAACAAATCTACTTTGTGTATATGTGTGTTTATGGGGGTGGTTTATTATTTTTGCCGGTCGCTAGACCCCTTTGTACAGTCACGTGCAGTCTGAGCAGGCCAGGGGCTGACAGCTTAAGTCAGGACCCTCAGCAGCGAGCCTCTTGGGGCGACCCAGCTGCTCTTGGACAAGTAAGTGGCTGAGTTCCTGTCTGGCCTCCTCTTTTTTTTTTTTTTTTTAAGTAACTTGTGTGTATTTCTAACTGATGCTATTGAAACAAAACAAAACAAAACAAAAAACCCCCTAGTATTTCAGTAAAAATGCCTGTTGTAAGATGAACCTCCTATAACTTCTATCTGTTCTTTTTTGAGGCTCAGGGAGAAACTAGCATTTTTTTTTCCAAACTACTTTTTGTCACTGTGACAGTTGTAAATAAAGTTTGAAAATGCTTTCCACTCTGGTCTGGTTTCTTTCTTTCTTGCTGCTCCATTGGAACAGACAAAGCACAGGAGCTACTCTTGCAGGAGGCTGAGTTCAGTGGAGCCCCACGTGAGGGTCCTTACACATCTCACCTTCGGGCCCTTCTGGGGTGAGCCCATCCATGGTTTTTATCAGCTGGTTGAATGAAAGCAGCTTTTTTCTTCAATGCTAGTGGTTCTAACTCTGGATGTGCATCAGAGTCACCAAGAGAGCTTTAAAAAAATACAAATAACCTGGATCCTACCCCCACAGACTTGCATTTCAGTTGGTCTGGGGTGAGGTCCAGGCATTAGCATTTTTTAGAATCACCTAGATTTTAACACACAGCCATGGTGGTTGTTGGTTTTTTTAAAAAATTTATTTATTTTTAGCTGCATTGGGTCTTCATTGCTGCACGTGGGCTTTCTCTAGTTGTGGTGAGCGGGGACTACTCTTCGTTGCAGCGCACAGGCTTCCCATTGCGGTGGCTTCTCTTGTTGCAGAGCATGGGCTCTAGGCATGCGGGCTTCGGTAGTTGTGGCACGTGGGCTCAGTAGTTGTGGCTTGTGGGCTCTAGAGCGCAGGCTCAGTAGTTTGTGGCACACGGACTTAGTTGCTCCACGGCATGTGGAATCTTCCTGGACCAGGGCTCGAACCCGTGTCCCCTGCATTGGCAGGTGGATTTTTAACCGCTGCGCCACTAGGGAAGTCTCACAGCCGTGGTTTTCAACCGCCCTTCTAAGGGAAGAGAAACATCCAAAATATATTGTAAAGTTGTTCACAAAGACTGGGAGTGAATGAATGGGTGTGTATATAGCTCGAGAGAAATCCAGGAATCATTCAAACCATTGACTGAGTGCCTAGGACTTATCAGGCATTGTTAAAGAGTTTGGGTGAACAAAATAGCAGTGGTCGCAGCTCTTACTGCACCGCTTTAGTGTAAAATTAAAGGAAAAACAGGTGCTCTAAGAGTAAGTGTCTGTTGGAAGGGTCAGGAGAGGCATCTGAAGAAGTGACAAGGGGTAGGAGAGGAAGCAGGTGAGGTGCATGGAGAGAGTACTTCTGGCAGAAAAGGCTTGGCATGAGCTTGACTGGAGGGAATGGGGAGGAGGAAACAGTGCAAGGAGGGATGCTTAGGCCTGGGTGAGGAGTTTGGGTTTTATTCTAAGTGCAGGGCCTAGGACAGTATCATTTACATTTTTCCACAATCTGGCTTTATGGAGATGGGATTGGAGTGGGCAAGATGGAAGGCTAAGAGACCAGGAAGGGGGCTTCATGGAGGTCAGAGTGAGAGATGGTGGTGCTTTGTGGAAAGGGTTTTTGGACATTTGTTGAACCTGAGGCTGGCTATTTTTGCCTTCACTCAGCCCACATCTGGGCTCTTAACCATGAACAGTATAAGTAATCAAGTGATCTGTGCTGAGCTCAATTTGATATTAGTGGAAGATCAATCCATTTTAACATTAGCCTGTCAGACCATTAGATCTATGGATCTGCTGCCCTGAAGATAATGCTCAAGCCTTGATCATCCTCATCTTGGATTGCCCTCTGTGTCCCCCAAACAGCCTGAGGATAGAGTTTATTACAACACAGCCTCCTTGAACATAGCCCCACAGAAAACTGTCTTTATTCACAGATGATATCATTTATGTAGAAAAATCCTATGAAACCTACCCCAAAAATCTACTACAGCTGACATGTGAATTCAGCATGGTTGCAGGATCTAAGATCAATATACAAAAACCGACTATATTTCTATATACTAGCAATGAATAATTGGAAATTGAAATTTAAAATTCCACTTATATTAGCATCAAAACATAAACTATTTAGGGATAAATCTGACAAAAGATGTACAAAACCTATTCAATAAAAACTACAAAACACTACTGAGAGATATGAAATAAGACCTACGTAATCAGAGAGGTATACCTTGTTCATGGCTCTGAAGACACCATGTTGTTTAGATGTCAGTTCTCTCCAAACTGAGCTATAGATTCAACACAATCAAAATCCCAGCAAGTTTTTTTTTTTCAGAAATTGGCAATCCGATTCTAAAATTCCTGTGAAAATGCAAAGGACCTAGAATAGCCAAAACAACTTAAACAAAAAACAAAGTTAGAGAACCCAAATCTCAATTTCAAACTTTATTACAAAGTTACAGTAATCAAAACATTTAGCATTGGCATCAAATAGACAAATAGATCCACGGAACAGAGTCCAGAAATGGACCCAAACGTAAATGGATGACTGATTTTTGACAAAGGTGCCAAGGCAACTCAGTGGAGAAGGCACAGTCTTTTCAACAATTGGTGTTAGAACAATTGTACATCCACATGCAAATATCCCCTGGGGATGGAAACATCTGTCTTTACTTCTGTCTCCCATTGTCTCCATGTGACTTTCTAAATAGAATATTTATTCATTTAGGAAAAAATTCATGTTCATGGTTGGTCAATCGCTTCAATGCTGTCCCCACTCCACCCCAGGTCACCTCCTCTGTCCCTAAAGGAGGAACATTGGTGGCAACTGG